CCCTCTTCTCTTCTCTTCTCTTCTCTTCTCTTCATAGTACCACAACACCCATTGTTCTGGCCATGCTGGATTTTTTTTTCCGCCAAAGGTCTAGATTCGGTAGGGAATAGTACTCCGTGTTGTCCAGACCAGATTGATAGGTTAGGCATCTCAAGAATCCCTATGTTTTAGCAGACATAGAAGAGTCAGAAATAGGCAATTTGAGCCAAAATCTCTCCTGGGTGAATAATTGTTCTGACTTTTTCCCCTTTTTATTCAACTCTCCTTCCAAAACGTTCAGGGTGATTTTTTTCATTTTATTTCCACAACGATCCTGGGAATTGAGCTAGGCTGGGAGAATGCTGATGGCCCCAGCTTTTCCGGTGATTATTGTGGAAGGATTTGAACCCAGGTCTTGCCAATCCTGGTCGGACCCCTAAGTGCTACACCACCCTAGCCCTCCAAGTGAACCCAGTACATTGGTTGAACTAGTTCTGTAGGCCTACTGCAGTGGTTACAAGGTGGTAGCTGAGACGGTCTGGGTTCAGAAGCTACCCAGGTTAGTCCTTGGATGGGAGACCACTAGGAGTTCTCAAGGCTGTAAGAAGTGGAGAAGACATTGCAGAAAGAAAATAGTGACAAGAGCCTTTTGTACTGATGCCAAGAAAACTACATGGGCCAGAAGTCCTTCTCGACTTTGAAGGAGAAGTTTAATTTAATGCTCTGTTGCAGCCTTTTCTAACCTACATGCCCTCCAAGTCTGTGGCCCTCACCACCCTAAACTTTCCATTTGAAAATAGCCCTTTTTAAAAGCAAGGGATATTTTACCATTCTCTTCCTCTTCTTTCTACCCGCACAGCCTGTTCCGTGACTTGATTTATCAAGGCTGGAAAGAGGCAACTCGTTCCGGCTCAGCGTGGAGTTTTCCTTTTGCATGAAGAAATTAAAAACCCAGCAGAGCTGCGGGCGTGTGTCTTTGCAGCTTTGCGCCGCACCAGAGCATTGGCCCGTGAGCAGATCAATATTTGCTGTAGGCCTGCTAAGTGCTGGGACTGACAACACGGATGTAGTAATTGAACTGACACTGGAAAGAGGTTTTTTAGCACTGTGCATGTGCCAGATGGGGTCCCGGAGGGCCCTCGGAGCGCACTCAGTCTCCTTGCCAAATAGTACAGCTGAAATATAAAGAAGGCGCAGTTATTAGAGGAATAAACAAGGGCGTCGGGCTTGAAAATAGCACTGTTGTGGATATGAATACCTAGTGCCGTGATTTGCTAAAAGCGCCTCCCTTCCCTTATTAAATTGATCTTTGCGTTCTTCCTAACACAATGGATGTTGGCAAGAAGTTACCTAAAGGTGTTGGGGCTTGGTCCATCAGCCCAAGAACTCTCTGAAAACTGAACAGAACAGGATCGTGGGCAAGTGGTAAAAGAAAGTCAGGTTTGAAACTGGCTGATTTTTGTGCTTGCCCCGTAAAAGCATTTATTACAGCAGATCTTCAGTCTTGGCAAACTCTTGGTTTGTTTTAAGGGAATGACCAGTCTGTGTCCAGAACTGAGAACTTCAAATCGCAGACATAGCTGAACGTTCCCCCCCCCTTTTTTTTAATTAAAGTTTCCATTCCAGGATATGAGCTGCTCAAGAGTTGCTTCCTGCGAAAGATTTCAGATCGTACTATTTCCTAGTCTCATCTAGAAATGCCAGATATTGTACCCAGGCCTTCTACTTTCCAAACAGGTGTTTTACTGCAGGGCTACAGTAATTCCCCAAAATACAAGAGTTGTCCCATAACCTCTTCCAGATTTCTACTGATTGGTTGTGTCATAACCAGATCTGTATTGATCGGTTTACCATAATTTCATCCAGACCTATCCCAATTAATTGTGCCCTAACAAGAGTTATATTAATGGGTTGGGCCATAACCAGATAACCAGATAGGCCATAACCCTAACCCTAACCCTATACTTGGTGGTGCCATACCCAGATCTACGCTGATTGGTTGTGCCATAACCAGATCCATATTGATTGGTTGTTCCAATTCATCCACCTCTGAGAATTCCAGAGAGGCAACACAGTTATAGCCACCAAGACATCCCCAGTGTTTGGTTAGATCTGGGTGGTTGAGGCTGCGGCATTCCCATCAGACAGCTGATCAACAACCTTCAGAACTTCCCACGCTTGACTTTTTGAGCTGAATGTTGAATGTTTTTTGGGGGCAGGAAATTCGTCGCTTGCATCAGTACGTGAAATTTGCCGTCCAAGATGTGAACGATGTTCTGGATTTAGAATGGGATCGACATCTGGAGCAGCAAAAGAAGCAGAAGTGAGTGGTTTGGGTTGGGGGATGAAGAAATCCTTTTCTTGCAGGCTTTTTGATCGTGAACAGTACCCTGCATTGTTGATTTAGCTGGTGGATATTCAGGTATCAAATGCTTTGGGAGGCTAACTTTCACCCTAGACATTAATGGGTGATTTTCTGGTTGGTTTTGGTTTAGATATGTGAGTTTGCGTGATGCAATTCACATGAAGTGAACAAGGAAAAGAAAATGTCTTGTTCACTTCTCAGTGAAAATCAAATTCATTAAAGCAGCTATGTCTGTTTCCAGGGTCTCACAGCTGCAGAGAAAGTCCTAGAAAATGATGCAGCTATTTTAATGAGTTGCCGGCAGCAGCCATGTTTCCACTTTTGTCCTCTTTGAAGGACCTTCTCCAAAGTGTATCCAAAGCATTACACAGTCATCCTGTGTGGAACTAAGTTACTAGTTCTTTTAACAGCCAGCTCTTGGGAATATTAACACATATCCCCCCACCCCTTGGAGATGATTTGAGCACTTAGTTATCTGTCCTTCATGGTATATCACCATTGTCAGTTGGTATAAATCCCATGGATGATTTCTTAGAAGATGTGTCTTCTGTAGGAAGAAGGTCATCATAATAGGTTCCATAATTTCTATAGTAGTGTGGAGGAGTACAAAGATGGCCTTGAAGAAGGAATTCAGTGGCCATTAGGTAAACACCAACTTAGCCCTAGAAGCGAGGAGTAAGTGAGAAAGAAACCCAAGATTACTTGGCCTTGATTCTCTTGGGTGTAAGAAGGGAAGAGAGAATCACTTTCAGACTTTCAAGATTTTGTAATTGTACCCTTTAACAATAGAGTTTCAGCAGTGCTTGTCGGATGTGTTTCCTGATTTGGTCCATAGGCTATGCTTCATTTAAATGATTTTCCTTAACTGACTTGAATCCTCTGTAGTTACCGAAGCAAAAGAAATCTGCTTCTTAACCTATCTTGACCCCTCCCCAAAAGGTGAATTATAGCTTTGCTCTTTCCTTCCATCCCACAGCATCTGTCAGAAGGGCATTTTGCAAGGGACATTGTTGGACCCGGTAGCCTTGGAGCATCATCAGGGTTTAGTAGCTGTGCTCCAAACGCTCTATCACAGAGCATTCTAACCTCAGAATGGGCTGATCTGACCCATTCCCAAATAATTTAGCTTGAATTATTGTGCTGAGGTCCAAATGATCTTTTATGGAATGTTTTGGACATCCTGAACATTTAGACTGCAGAAAAGGATGTTTCAGCATCCTTTAATGGCTGTGGTCTTGGCACACCTTGCTAGCCCTAAGGATATTGATTTTCCTTGCTCTCTGCATTGTTCCCAGGGATTATATTCAGATTTTAAAGATGCCTAATTGAATTCATTTATATCTGCCTGTTCTGCCTTTATGCCTTACCTCTTTCTCTCTCTCCATCCTTTTTAAATAGGCGTTTAGCAGTCCCCGAGCGAGAAACTCTGTTCAACGCCCTCACTAACAATCGGGAGATCATCAACCAGCAGAGGAAGAGGCTGAAGAAGCTGGTGGACAGCTTGTACGAACTCCGTTTGTACAACCAAGTGTCTCAGTGGAACGTGTCGACTCCCAGCTCCTCTCACACCAGCATCCAGAGGTGAGGGCTGCCGAGGAATTCCCCAGAGGCGCTCTTCTTCCCCGTGTCCTGTCTCAATCCATTTGGAAATGTTGGAAGGAAGTGTTCTTTCTGGACTGGCGTGGAACGGCATTTTTATTCTGTGGAAAGAAAGCTCATCCTTGAAGTTTAAATGCACCCCGTGAATTAGGGAGGAAGTTGTGACTCGTAGGCATGTCAGCTATAAAAGACTGAGAATTCTCCCACTTGGATCCTATCATGTCTCTCTCCCCCCACCACCAAGATATTGCTGATAATTTTACAAGGCTTCATAAACATTTTCTGCAACGCCAATTTTTTCTTTTTTTCCCCCCTGACCACATCTCTCGTTAAATCAGTTGCAAATTACAGCTCATGGATGATGTGAGAAATGTTATTCTGCTTTGCACTGTTTGTGTAGATACCTTCAACTCCCTGGTAGGACCTCAAAGAGGTGCCTTTTCTGTGCCCCCCCAGCACCCTCTGGAGTAGGATTCCCCCCAAATGTGCACAGCTTCGGTCTTGTTACCATAAGCCCTCAAAATGTGGTCTTTATTTTAGCAGGGCAGGACAATTTGGAAATCCTACTGTGATACAGGGATATTATTCCTTGGGATTGATGATGTTTGCTTCCCCAGTATAGTAAAATATATAAGTGTGTGTGTGTGTGTGTGTGTGTGTGTGTATATATATATATATATATATGTGTGTGTGTGTGTGCGCGCGCGCGCTTTGTTTTCAGTTGCTCTTTCCCTGCTTGCTTTATGGTTTTAATACGTGGCACATCTCTGAGATGATGGAGGGGGGTTCAAAATGGAACGAATAAATAAAACCAGCCTGCAATTGTCAGGCCTAGCCCAAGAACCATAGGGAAACAGTTCAACCAAGTTCAGTTCTTTTGTTGCTTACACCATATGGACAAAATCTTGCCAGATTAAATCTGTACTACTGCAACTAGTGGATATTCCCTGGGAGATTCTAGGGAGTGGCTATCCTAATTCTCTTCTGCTTCCCACGCTCCTGCTCCGGACTGTGTTGTCTCTTGTCTCTCTGCCCTTCTTGGAATGTACCCCCTCCTTCTTGAGAACCTCGTTCTCTTCTACAGTCCACCACAAATGGAAGATATGAGGGTCCCCTTGTCTGCCCACCCCATGCCAACTCCCATCTTTGAGGGGGAGCCTCAGAAATGGGTTTTGCAGGAACTGGTGCTTGGGAGGGAAAAGAGAAAAATCAGCTTGGGAAACCAAGTGCCTGAACCAGCCCCAAACCCAGATAAGCAGGTTGGCAGGATTTAATCTAAACCCCCCCCCCCCCCCGCTACTGGCCAATAAACTCTTGTTAATTCTTCCTATCAGCACTTACGTCAAACTAAGAGATACTTTGGTCATTGTCATCAAGAGCTATGAATGGCCCCTTCTATTTGTAGCTGAGTTTAATGAGAATAGACCCGGGAGGAGGAGAAACGGTGCTGAATCACATCTGTGATGGATGAACGAATATGTGTTAGGTTCTTCAGGTCCTTTAAAAAAAAATTTGCACTCGGATTGTCAGTGATGTTGCAACTCTGCTTCCCTCTTCTGTGCCTTTTTTTCCTTCCTTAGCTTAGAGAGCGAGCTGGAGAATCTGAGTAACGCCTTGACGAAAGCCACGCTGGAATCTTGCACCAAAGCTTCGTCCCCGTCACCCGGTAACTCGGTGGTGTGTTTTCTTGCACACCGCATTTGCACATCGGGCGGTGCGCACGGTTGTGTTGAACATCAGCTACAAGCACAGAGTTATTGCTTCGTAGGCTGTAATGTGTGGAGAATTATTTCCTTTAGTCTCTTCTGGGTCTGCCTGTTTTTTTTTAAACTATCTTGCACTGCCTGATTTATTCACGGAAAAAGCAGCTTTAAAATAGGATCATAGCCGCGATGGCACAATTGTAGCAGTGATTACTGCTATCCATATTGAGTCAATTTTTATAGGATGTTTTTGTTTTTGTATTGGTGTTTTTGAGTTAGTCTGATGATGATCTGGGCAAGTACTCCCAATTTTCCCAGCAACATTTTGCCCTGGCCTCCTCCTTCCCAGGGCTGAGAGGGAGGGACTGGGCCAAAATCACCCAGCTGGCTTTGCACCTAAGGCAGGACTCGAACTCACCATCTCCAACTTCTAATCCCAGGCCTTTAACCACTACACCAAACTGTCTCTTTACAGTATATCGGTCACACGATTATTTCTAAAAATATATAAATTTGATCGATAAATAAATACATTTCAAAGGGACAGCCGTAATGCTACTTTTTCAAAACTTTTTTTTCCAACAAAATCTTAGTATGTTGTGTGGACTGGGGAATTCTGGGAGTTGGCTGGGGAATTCTGGGAGTTGGTTCCCCAGGCTGGCTAGGGAATTCTGGGAGTTGAAGTCCACACCTCTTAAAGTTGCCAAGTTTGAAAAACCCTGACGTATATGGAATTACAACCCAAAAAATCATTATGTTCCCCATTCCCTTTCACTTGCAGCTAAATTGTCTCTTGCGAAGCAGACCCAGCTACGGAATTTCTTGTCCAAGAGGAAAGTGCCACCCGTACACTCTACTGCACCAGGTATCCAAGATAATTGAAAATAGTTTCTACTGCAGGGCAAAAGTGAGCTGCGGGGAAGAAACTTCTCCCTTTCACTAACCCTCCTTTAGCAACTAGGTTTTTATCAGTGGGAGCTACGACAACGTTTTGCACTCTGTTTTCACTATGGGGAAAGGGGAGGGAACTATGTTGCCTTACGATGGGAGCAAAAGGGGTTTGAGCAAGCTGGTTACTTCTCACCTTCCCTGTTTTGGCTTCCCCGTATGCTTTACTAGCTAACGTTCAGCCCTATCGTTCTCAAGGTCACTGAGTTCGCACTCCGCAAAGGCGGATTTACAAAGCTGCCCCCCAAAGGGGTGGAGAGTCTGTGTTTGGTTCATTATTGAAAGCCTCTTTTCCCTGCGCTTCGACCTGAAAGGCTTCCAATGCCACATATCCATTAATGCCGTAGAAAAAGGCACAGCCTAAAAGGAAGAGAGGATGAGGAGGGAAAAGAAAACAAGATTACTGGGCATCAGGGTTTTTTTAAAGATCTGTTGCTTTGATTTACAAAAAAAAGGGGGGGATAGCAGAAAATGAAACAGAAGCATATATTACAAAGAAAAATAACCTGCTCAGTTTTTAAACTTAGCCGTAAACTTGGAATAATATTGATCACTCTTTCCCGTACATGGGAAAAACCTGTTCATAAAAAAGAACAAAGATATCAATCCAAGATAATACATTCATAGGGACAGCCTTTCCATCCTAAAAGAAGAATACTTTTTGCTCACTCCATGCTTATTAAATCTGTTCTTTTTCTTGATAACAATTCATTCCAATTTGGGGGTATGTAATTCAGAATCTCATTCCCTTCTTTAAACCAGATTAATCTTCTCAAAATCATGCCAACAAATTAATAGTTGGACAAGCCCATGTCGTATGTGTAAGTGTCCTCTCCATCATGTTAAAGGTGACAGCCAACCTTTTCTTAAACATTTAAACGTTCTCTGAAATGTCCAGTAAATGTGAAAAAAAATATTTTGTTGAAAGAGTCTCCTCTTAAGCTCGTATGAAACATATTTAATGATCTTCAAGACCCATAAACAGTGATTTGTCAATATGGGACATTCCAACTCTATTCCAAAGTTTTTCTGAACGGCTACCCCAATCTGTCACCATAATAGGCTTCCTGTAACTTTCTTTTCTTGCTTCCCTTGAAATAATTATTAATAATTCCCTCCCCCAAATTTTTGCAGCTACTCTGGCCCAGTCAGCTTTTCTGTCTCTGAGATACGATGAAGACTTGGATGAGATCAGCTCTGTGTCTTCAGTTGCCCAGTCCCTGGAGAATGAGGACATTGAGGTGGTGGATCAGGAGGAAGAGGAGGTGGTACCTATCCAAGGGCCTCGTCACGCCCCTGTTGTCCGGACTCCTTCGATCCAGCCTGCCCTGTTGTCACAGCCCCTGCCTCTTGGCAAACCCCACATCACAATGGGCACTTTAAGTGAGTAGATTCCAGAACATCATTTTGTTTGATCTGGTTGTGTAAAGGTATGTGGGAAAGACCTTGGGAGACTGGGCCAAGAGACGCTGCCTGGGGAACAGTCAGATAAGAGGGAGCGTAGCCCTCAGCTGGATAGCAGGAGTGGCAAGAGGCTCAGAAGGGACCCTCCCTAGTTTCTCAGGCTGTAAAGGAGATGGGCGGGGGGGGGAGAACTGTCCTTTTAGACAGTTGCAAGATTCTGTCAATGTAGCTTTATAATAAAATAGAATTGGTTCATCTGGTTGTGATTCCTGTCTAGTCTACCGAGTAAGGCTGACAGGTTGGTCTGTGCTTTGCAGTCAAGATATGGAATGAAGGGGAAGCAGTGATTTGATCCTGCTTAATAACTTTGTCCTTCATTCTCATCCTTTGTGAGGTTTGGGCTTTGTGTATTTTCTGAACCTATCCAGTGTAGCTTGCAAACAAGACTTCTGGACCCAGCAGTCTGAATTAATCAAATCTACTAATGTCTTGTTCAACAGTCCATAAAACAAGCATGGTTGTCATGGGATCTGTTAACCTGGTCCATTCTCTTCCTGTCAAGTTGAAGTTATGTTTTATTGAGGAATTAAAGTTATGTTTTATTGGGGAATTAAATTCTCCCTGCCCTGAATCTTTGTTCTCCGTATTTTCCATATCCACTTTGTTTCTGCTTTTTGATAGTGGAGTTACTAGGATTTCACCGCAGGCTGAACCAGGACCCCCCACCAACCTGATAAGCCTTTAGCAGCCCCTTACAACTCAAAATCAAGATTCTCATGGAGTCTTCTTTAACTAGATTGATTGAACGAGAATAGAAAATTAAATTACAGAAACCTTGGCAGCTGGATGTGGGAAATTTAGCCCCTTATTGGACCTTAAATTGTTAGGGCAGGGATTTCTCGATCCTCATGCATTTGGGAGTGGTTTCCCATTTTCCTAATCAGGGAAAAATGTGTGAATGTTCTGCGCTTGTGTACTCATGATATTTTGCAAACCACCATCCTGTTTCCCAGTCACTAAGAAACGCATTACACATATTTGTGGCCAGAGAATTCCCCCGCCTCCAAATTCTGCATTGAAACAATGATTTTCCATAGCTTAGCTCTTCATAATCTAATAAGAGAAAATCTAAAATAGGTGCATTAAGCCTTTGCTGATTTAATGCATCTATTTTGTCTTAAATCCCCAAAGTGAGGTCACCGTTATGCCTGCTGTGGTCCTTAGAGGAGAGGAAAAATCTTCAGTCCAAAAACATTGCTTCCTCTTGTGCTAAATCTTAGATTAAGTCACAATCAGGTGTGAAGCAAGGGATTTATTTTCGCTAAGGCTGCATTTAATGCTAAGCCATAAACCATAGTTGAGGAATTACAGCGCCTGGGTCCACACCACACTTCTAAGCCAAATCTGAAGCCTTCACATGTCCCATAAATCGAATCATTGCAGGATTTGAATTTCTGAATTGTAGAATGCCTGGATCACAATTATTTCTACATTTTTTTTAGTCAAATCCAAATCCAGGGCAGTCTACAGAAATAGAGACAACTTGTTAATAAGATAAGTTATATCAGGTTTTTTCAAACTTGGCAACTTGAAGATGGGTGGACTTCAACTTCCCCCCTTGGCTGGGGAATTCTGGGAGTTGAAGCCCGCCCATCTTCAAGTTGCCAAGTTTGAAAAACACTAAATTAAATTGACAGCAGACGCAAGATAATTTCAGAGGTACGTGGGAATTTACCATGGAGTATCCTAGCCTAAAAACTTTATTCCGTGTTGGCTGTGTGTGATGGGAGTTGTAGTTTAGCATGTTTGGTAAATATCAAATGGAGAAGGCTGGTGAAACCTCACTGTTTTGGAAGAGAAGCCTATAAAAAGGCAACCAAGCTGGAAGAGATAGCTATCTCTATAATAGGAATGACATAATTCTATCTAAGAAGAGCTCAGTCAAACCTTAAAGCCTTTTTCAATTGTGAGAAGCATCCCCACGTTATGCTAAATGCATGTGCATTTTTTAAGGAAGTTTTCTTCAGCCAAAAGAAAACTATGGGGGTAATTATAATGGTAGAATTGAAACACACGCTTTAAAATTAACCATTCCTGAGGCTACTGTTCATTTGTTAGCTGGCTCCACCACAGGTAACCATAAAGCCCAGAATTAAAAAAGATACTTAAAAAAAAAAAAGATAAAAATTGGCCTTGCACAATGCTGGCCATCTAACGGGTTGATGTGCATGACCAAACGATTAGGGAACGCTGTTTTCAGCCAACAAGCTTCTTCCATTATTAGATGGATTAATCTGCTTTCTGGAATGGAAAAGGAAACCGTCTTAAGCCGTGGCAGCATTGCGTCCGGTTCGTATATTGGAATAATTAGTGTAAGTGCCCTCGGAGGAATGCTTACGTTCAGTTTGAGAGTGTAGAGTTGCAGTCATAAAATAAAGACAGCCTCTGAACCGTGGCCGGGATCCAGCTGAATAGAGAACATGGTCCTATGGCTTAAAGGACACTGAGCGTTTGCCTGGTCAAGAAAACAGAAATCCCTTCTAGGACATTTTTTTAGAAGCTGAAAGGGAATGTCTAGAGCAGTTTTGTAGGTGAAAGGGAATTCATTCCCCAACAGGATTCAGGATAGACCTTATGGATAATTAAGGGAGCTGCTGAATCCTCGGTTGATCTTGGTGATTTTTTTCTCATCTGCTTGGCCAGGGAGAGGAGGTAAATACCAGTTAAAAATACAATGTTTTCACTGCAACGTAGAGATTACTGAATGCTTAGTACTATTTGATGATCTTAAAATGATATTGAGGGATATTGTTCTATTAAAGAATCCGCGTTTCAGTGAGTATTGCAAAAACGTTTGGCTGCAAGAAGGGGCAGGGAAGCCTTGTGACACATAGCTACATTTCTTTCCTTTTTTTCATTCTCCCAAGGAATTTAAATGTCTTCTTTAAGCTGGTGCCCTCCGCACTAGTACCACTGATTGATTCTGGCTTAGCTTGATGTGGAGGCTAATCTCAAGGTTTACAAAGATTTCCCCAATTGGGCAGTAAAATTGGGCAGGTCAACTCCCAGAATTTGTAGCAGCAGACAAATGCTGGCTGGGGGAATTCTGGGGACTGAAAACAGAACTTTTGGAGAGTGCCCTTCAACTCCCACAATTCTCAGCAAGGAGTGAATGCTGGTTGGAGGATGCTGGGAAGTGAAGTCCTCCAAATCCAGGCGCTGTGGTTTAATGCAGTAGACGAACCTGGCCAGTGAGCTTGGTGGAGTGAGAGCAGGTTTCTTCAACCTAGTTTGATAGTCCTTCTAGGACTGTTTCCTTCACCCTCTTGAGTCTTGAGATCATCGTAACTGAAGACCTCTTTTCTCTCTTCCAGTGTCTACACCTAAACCCGTCCCACCTGGAGCAGAGAACGCAATGTTGGCAACGAAGACAGTGAAGCACAGAGCCCCTATTCCTTCCGTCACTCTCCCGGCACCCCAAGCCGCTGCAGAAGCTGCGTTGAGGAGACAAATGGCGAACCAGAACCCAGGTGAGCTCCAGGCATTAGGTTGGTCCCCAATCTAAAAACCTCCGTTGCTTGTAACTGGGCAGAATCTGCTGTTTCCTTCCTCTGATTCAATTGTCACTGAGAAAATGAAGATTTCATGTTCGTATTCAGCTCGGTGGAATAGACAGTGAGCCCCATCCGGACTCTTTGGTGCTGTTCTCTCCAGCTCATAGAAGACACCCATTTTATAGGGAGACCTGTAGCATCATCTGGGGCTGTGGCACGAGGTTTAGAGGCCAAAGGCCACACTTACACTTGTTTGGGTGGTGCGAAATAGGCGTGATGGAGTCAGGCATGTAACCAGGGGCAGACCTTTGTATTTTCTTTTTCTTTTTTTTCCTTTCCTGTTTTGGAGGATGCAGTTGGGGTGGGTGTTGTCTCTTTAGTCAAAACCGCATCACACCTCTTTTAAAACCCACCATTTCCTGCCTGAAAAATGACAGGAAACTGAAACTCAGTGATGGAGTCAGAGGGGGATTCGTGCCTGCAAACAGAGAGTTTGAAGGCCGCCTTTTTTAGCCCAAAGATTGCAGGCTGCTTACCCCTGATCTGTGGAGTTTAGAAGTTGCATCCTCCAATTTATGCAAAGGTTCTCTCCCATCAGATGGCACCACTGGAGGAATTAACATGCCTTCTCTTTTTTTCAACCCTTGCATACAGTTTAAGATCATCAGTAACAGAACAAAATACAATATTCCTTCTCTGCTGCAAAGTGATAACAGTCCAAATCCAACCGGATTGATTGATTGATTGATCGATTATGTGCCATCAAGTCAGCATCAACTCTTAGCAACTACATAGATAGATTTTCTCCAGGATGAACTGTCCCCAACATGATCCTTCAGGTCTTCCAACAGCGCACCCATTGCTGGTGTAGTTCCTTCCACCTTTCCCAGCATGATGGACTTCTCTAGGGATTGTATGGCTTCCCTGGATAGAGATTGATTGATTGACTGATTGATTGATTGATTGATTGAGTGTCATCAAATCAGTGTCAGTTCTAGATTTGATGACACATAGATAGTTTTTGTCCATGAAGATGTCCCCCCCATCACCGCTGTAACTGAGTCCCTCCACCTTGCTGCTGGTCATCCTCTTCTTCTCTTTCCTTCCACCTTCCCCAGCATCAGACCCTTCTCCAGAGAGCTGGGTCTTCGCATAATGTGTCTGAAGTAGATCATTTGAGCCTGGCCATTGGTGGCTTGAGTGAAAATTCTGGGTTGATATCTTTGATGATCCATTTCTTGAGTTTCTTAGCCATCCATGGTCTTCTCAGGAGTCTTCTCCAACACCAAAATCCAAAAGTGTCAATCCTCTCCCGTTTCTTCAAAGTCCAACTTTTGCTTCCATTGAGTGTCACAGGGAACGTGCTAAGCATTTCATTTTGCCCAGTTGGAGACTTAGTCTTGTACGAGTAACATCTCTTGTTCTCTTACGCTTATTTAATAGTTGTGAGCACCTCCCTGACCGAATCAACTCTGAAGAATGTCCCCCAAGTGGTAAATGTCCGAGAGCTGAAAAGCAGTGCTTCTCCTCCTACAGTTTCTGCACCAGTGGGGTAGGTAAACTCTTCTTTCTCCCTTTCAAATGACTTTTTTCTCCTTGGACCAGGCCTGCAGAAAAATTCTCTATCAGCAGAGGGCGGTGCTGTTGCTTTGGGGAAATAAAGACGTGGAGTTCTGAAGTTCCATTAGATGACTTTTGTTTTAAGGGCAAAATACCTTTCGTAGTCTGGAATTCCAGCATCAGGTTTTGTGTTAAAATAAAACCGCTGGTTCTTAGGCTGCTTAATAGCAAAAGGGATGTGAAATTAATAGCCTCTGTTGTAAATAGACCAATGTTTGCTTGGAGTATCATTTCTTCAAGCTTCAGCCCTTTTTCGTGCAGAGGGAAAGAGATCATCTGAGGACACTTTTTCCCTACATTTGCAGAAGATGGGGAAGGTTACACCAGCTTCTGGAACAGTTGCATTACTTACTTTATCTTTTTTTAATTAATTGATTTATTTTTACTTATTTGTTATATTAAATTATTGTATTATTATATCATTAATCATTATTTATTATAATAATTAAAATTATATTAATGATTTATTTGTTTATTTAATCATTTTTATTATTTATTATTACTCTCTTTTTTAATATTTTTTATTAAAGTTTATATATATAAAAGCTAATACAAAACAAAAAAACCTACAGAAAAAGAAAGGAAGGAAGGAAGGAAGGAAGGAAGGAAGGAAGGAGAGAGAGAGAGAGAGAGAGAGAGAAAGAGAGGGAGGGAGGGAGAGAGAGAGAGAGAAAGAAAGAGAAAGAAAGAAAGAAAGAAAGAAAGAACTTTTCTTGTGCAATTATGAATTTGATTGGGGGTTACTCTGCAGAAATGTTGGGATACCAAATTGCTGAAGTGTTAAATGTTAAATGTTGGCTACCAGTGCAGAGATCGAGGGAGATTGAAGCTTCTTGGTTAGGCCAAATCTATTTGTGTTGATACTTTTTTTTTTTTTAGCTTTAGACAAGTTGGTGCAAATCTCTTTGAGATATTCCAGGGCTGACACGTTCACAGCTTCTGACATTGTTAAGATTTTTAGATAGCCCCGTTGTCACAGGTGAATACCCCAGAAGGCACAGAACTGTGCATTTACATTGCCAAAAACCTAATGACATGGGACTGAATGTATCATGCATCAACCCTTCAAACTTCAAAGGGAACAAATGCTCCCCTTTTAAAAAAATGGGTTCTGATTTTTTAAAAAGCCGGGCTGTTTCCCATATTATTTTTCCAATGACGAGCCGTTCCCTTAACAGGGCAAGATTTAAGTTCCTGATTTCTCCAGTTGCATTTTGCACTTGGCTAAATATGGATCCTGCTTATGCACGAGGGCTGAGCTGTAAGGTTTGTGCTTCTCCTCCAGCTACAATTTGCTGGATACTTAGCAAGAATAACCACCCCTTCCTTCCTCTGCGAAGTTTAGGATAATCCTGGTTAACCATCAGGAAAACAGTAATGATCGGTTAGCACGTGGAGGGCTTTGAAACGTTGAGGCATTCTGTACAAATGCTGAGAAATTGTATATATTAAAAAAAAATGCTTCCATATCTGGAAAAGGGGGTGGGGGGGGAACACTAAGGAGAAAAAAGGAAAAAAGCCATATTATATTCCATATCGGAAATCATTCAGCCAAATTTTTAAACACGCCATTAAACAGTGACTGCGCAAAATAATATTGATCCACCTTTCTGTTTGGTCAAGAGAGACTCGTAAACCAAAAGCGAGCTCGTATTGGTGATCTGAGAATATAAATCTGCACAAAGGCACATTCCAACCTTGAAAAAAGGGATTTTTTTGCTAGCTCGCCCCCCTGCCGCAGTGCTCAATAAATCCATAGTTCTTCATATTGTGATCAGTTCAGAGGAATGTAATTCAGAGCTGCATTTTGGTCTTTAAACCGTATTGATCTTTGTAATGACATATTAACAAATCTGTGGATGTTAAGTGAAACCAGTAGTTCAGAAGTCCATATCATATGAGTAATAGTTGCTACACCCATTTTACATTTCCAACATAATGAGGTTGACAACCAACCTTTTTAAAGTATTCTCTGGATGTCCCGAAAATGTGAAAAAAAAATGCTGGATTTTTCCTGTGTAAAGAGTGTGAGAAATATGCTTCATGTTCTTTATGACCCTTAGTCATTGATTGGTTAATATGGAAGAACCAGAACCCTAGCAAATAACTAACATTCGACTTAGTTATACTCTTTATTATTTTATTAGAAATTACTGTAGTCTTAAGATGAGAAGAAATACATTCCAAATGCCGTGAGTCATTTGGGCTGGTTTAGGTGCTGCGTAAGCATCCTGATTCTGAAATTAAGCAGTTTTAATGGAATATGCTCTCATTTCATATTATAAAAAAGGGGGGTTGGGAAATTAAGCAGTTTTTCAGCATCTGTGCAAGATGACCTGTATCAGCGTTATATAAAATGTTTGCCAATGCAAAGAGTCTTGCAGTGAGGTGCCATACAATAGATGTGATTGATTGATTGATTTGATTGATTGATTGATTGATTGATTGATTGATTGATTGATTATATCCCACATGGATAGATTTTTCTCCAAGGGAATGTATAAGTCAATGAATAAGCAAGAACTTGATTCCCTTGAAATAGATTCTTCATGGAAACCTATAAAGCAAAAATATTGGGAGTGGATTGAAATGACTCCTTGTTAACCTCTTGGCTGCAACAGGTGTTTATAAGGAGAGATCTTTTTGCAGCCTTCAGTGAAAGACACTTCTTTTAAAAAAGGGGGGGTTTGACCTTCCACAAGTGTGTTTCCTCCAGCTTTCCAGCCATAACAAGTAGCTTTTCCCACTGAATTTGCCCTTGAATCTCTTTTCCCTTAGCAGTTATCAAAGGCCAATTAAACAAAATGTTGCTCAGCGGAGCGAAAATCTGCTGATACCTGGACATTTTGCCTTGAAGAAGCTGAACAATGAGGGACAGTGATTTCTCATAGTAACAAGAAGGCTCTTTTTCTCTTCCCACCAGATGTGCTGCAGTTCAGGCCCCATAATCCCCTCCCAGCCGATGTTGGCTTGAAAAGTGATGGGGATTGGTCCTGCATGGGCCCGATGGCTCAACATAACAAGGGGTGGGTGGGAAATTAACACTTCCCAAGGTGTTGTATGCATGCAGTTTCTAGGAGTTTAACAGGTCCCAGTTGTTGGGCAAACTTGTTAAGGCAGGGGGGAAAATGAGAAGAAAAATGATATCTTCTCCCAGATCGGTAACTCTTAATTTGGGCTAGGCTAGTTTGGAATTTTAGAGTTTTAGTCTTGGCTCTTCCCACTTCAGGAAGAGCCGGTCCCCGGTAGCGATCTCTACACCAGAAACAGAAAATCATCAAATGCTCCATCTCCAGTTCAGCAGTGAGCCAAAGCTGGAAGGAAGATGCAAAACTCTTTCTATGGACGGTCCAGAATTATCCCTGTCTTTTTGTAGACAGTAAATCAGGGGCTGTGTGAACTTGCACAACATGTATCTGCTAAGCTCCTGCCTTGGCGATACTGTAAATCTGCCTCTTTGTACCTCCACTGTGGGGCGAATCCATTAATCTTTTGTTTTATGCTGACCCTGACAGTTTTGGCAGGAGTTGCAGATAATGAGCCAACGGACTTTTTTTTTCCCTTCCCAATTTCCCTGCAGAGAGATCTGCCCTGAAGCGACTTAACTACTCTTAGCTGTATCTGTATCAGTAGTTCCTAGGTCAAAAAGCTGCAATTCTCAGTGTAAAGATCAGATTTTGAGCGGGGAGACCCAGGTTCAAGTCCCTGCTTGGCCACAGTCCTCACCCCAGGACTTTGGGCCAGCTGCTTAGCCTCAGCCCAACCTACCTCACAGGCCTGTTGTTATGAGAATAAAAATGGGAGATCTCATGCATTGAATTCTGAATTTTCTCAGAGGCAGCAATAGAAGGAAAGAAACGTCTTGATAAATCATAGCCCAATACAACAAGAAGATGCTTGTGAATAACCAAGGATGCAGCAGGCAGTATTAGCTATGCAACTTCCAGAATTTGATTTGTTCTCCTCGCCATCTAGCGCCGCCTTTTCCGGCCAGACGCCCTCCAGATGTTTGGGGGCTGCAGCAGTTGCCTGAATTCCCACTTGCCTTAGAATTCCAGATGTCGTTATCCCAACCCTTTTAGACAATAGTCGTCTGGTAAAGTCTGCCCCAGCGTTTATGTTTCTGCAAACAGAGGGGGAATCGTTCTGCAGCAACAGACTAGCTTGTCGAGACCTGGGGCTTCAGGGAGAGATTGGTGAGACTGACTCTGGTTTGCTTCTGGCGTAGATTCCCATCCTGAAAGTAGAGGATGGAGCAGAAGATAAGCTTCATTTGGGTTCTGGGTTGTTTGGTTGGGTTCTAACATCCTTTTCACTTCCTCTTCCAGGTCATCCGTTCCTCAGACAGCTGCCCAAGCTGTCCACCAAATTTTGGCAACGGTGGCGACAAATCAAACCAACCAGGTATGGCTGATCTCTTGGAAAAGAACAGTCTTTCCCGTTCTCTTATTTTTTCTAGATTCTGTTCCTGAAGGTTGAAGAAGAATCTCCCCATGCTAGAGAGCCAAAAAGCCCATGGGGGTGAGGGAGAAATTGGCCGAGTTGGGCAAAACCCAGGGATGGGAGAAATCCGAAGCTTTAACAGAGGGAAAATTGGATGGTTGGGTGTCCCCAAGAAGAGAAGTCCCACTCATGGGTCCAACTTCTTTCAGGCATTGATTGAGTTCAGTTACTCACTTAATAAGTGCACATCTCCACCGCCACCCCACTTGGTGATTACAGACTGCAGATGTGACTTTTGCCTCTCTGGATGAAGCTGGGGGAACATCTTACGCTGTGTAGTAAGCTACGTCCCGTAAATAGTAAACGATCCATAATAAATAAACCATACTCATCTTAAAGTCCACATTCTAAAATCCACGCTGGGCTAGGAGACAGCGTTCAGTCTTCCTGTGCTTCTTTGGATCTATGACACATACAGTGACCGTATTTTCTTGGAACAAAGAAAGGCCGAACCTGAAAAGGGGGCAAATCTGAACAGGCTTCATAAGGATAAAAAAAATGAATTGTTCATGTTTATAACTTTGCTTTACCGAGGCAAATTCGAGAGCGAAACCAAGAAAAACTTTACCAAAACGCACGTTCAAATAAAAAGATCTAAAATCAGACCATATATGTAAATGTATTTTAAAAAGACCCTTCAATTTCCATCTTTTTCACATGGGTGGGAAAGACTGTGCATTAAGGAGCACCGTTTGTACGGTGAAAGTTAAACCACCAAATTAAAGGACAAAAGTGAGTCTTTGAAAAATAAAGAATTCTAAAGGACCGCTTTCTGAAATAAAGAGATCGGTGAGACAGACGCTGGTTTGTTTCTGGCATAATAAAGGACATATGGTCACTGTAATGATTTGTGATTATTGCCAACTGTTTTACCCTGCAGGAGATTAAGTGTTGAGATGATGGATAACTGGAAGGAAGTTGAATCTTCCAAAGCTTTGTTTCGAGGCTTGTAGGATGCTAGAAAAGCTGTCTAACCTAGATTTTTCCTGACTTGCTGCTTTTCTACATGCAAGGAAGAGGATTGTTTGCGTGAATTGGTTTTGCATGTAAACCCACTTGTCGCCAAACGCTGCTACCCTCTATGGAAACTTCTGTTCTTCTGCTTTCGGGCAGCGTTGTGCCCTGCCTCCGGTCGGTCCTGCCTGCTCCCTGACCGGACCCTTTTGCTTAAATGTTTTAGGGACCTCCATCAAGCAGCCTTAAGATGCTGACCCCGCCCAGCTCAGCAGCTGTCGCCGGAGCATCCGTCAGCCAGACATCCGTGGGGAAAAAGAATTCAGGTCAGTTCAGGGCAACGGGAAGGGGGTCAAAGCCCAGTGGGCCCATTGCACTTGTGGGGCGGAAGGAAACATAGCTAAAAGGGAAAGTTAAAACTCTCCTGCTTCCTGGCGTCTCCATGGACGCATATTGTTTTCTTGCCCAAAGTGATTTATCTTCTTTTTTTCTTTTTAATTTCCTTGCCTACATCGCAGCCCTCGGATCTCTGGTAGTCTCCCCTCTGAGTATTAACCCAACCCCACCCTGCTGTGTTTTGGGGGGCGTTAGCCAACATGGCTAGGGGCTATTATCTCCTGCAACCACAATCAGGGGAAGGCGAATCTCATGTTGACGTTTGCATTTTGGCAGGCGTGTTCTGGCCCCCTGGCTGGATCCTGCCCACTTGCTATTTTTAACCTGGAGTCCTCTTGGATCCTGTCCCACCCCTGCCCTCCTCCCCAGCTAAATCCGAACACCCATTTCAGGCTGGCTGGGATGAGACAGCAGTTATATTGGGGGCAGGGATTCAGAACAAACTATGGTCCCCTCCTTATTCAGAGCCATGAAATTGTCCAAGCCTCCTTGCATTAAAACGTTTAAAAATCCAGACTTCAATTGCTGGGATCTTCGTCCTTCCAATCTTTTGTTTTTCTCCTGATGTTGCCGGACTCCACCAAGGCCAAGGACGCCGTCCGATTTGCTTTTTCTCTGTCTCTTCTGACAGCCACAGTAAAGGATCAGGCTGTCCGCAAAGATGGGTCCCATGCCAGAATGCAGTCTCGCCATGATTCCTTTTGTTTGGAGGGGAGGAGGAATTAGAAAGAAAACACTTGGGAAGTGTAAAAGATGGAAGTGGGAGGAGAGAGAACTTGGAAAGGCAGGAGCACAGGCAAACAAGGGAGCCTTTTTATTAGATTAATATGGACTGTCTGAAAGGTGAGAGATGAAGTTTAACCTCTTGCAATCCCCAACCTCGCTGGTCTCAAATTTCTCAGGGAGTGGCTGAAACCAGTCAGCGCAGCTGGTAGCTGGCATATGAAAACAGCCATAAATGTGCTTCTTTAAAAGACTTGTATGGCCGCCCATCTGGAAGCCCAACTAGGGCTGCCTTGCAACTGCAATAAAACAAAGACTCTAAAACCATAAAAACAGAAACTAAACACCCAGTGCTTCGCGTGTCCTCCCAGGAGGCCCCCAACAACCCCCCCAGGCCTCATTTTCCTCCAGTGTCTGGGTGAGAGCGGGTCTTTATGGCCTTCCAGGAGGCTAAAAGGGCGGGGGGCTGGCCAGATGTGGTCTATTATCCTGCGTTTTCAATTGCATACCATTTGGATAGATTAAGCATAATCTCTTCTTACAAATCCCGAGGGCCAGGACCTGGATATCTCCCAGAGCTACTGCATGATAGATAAATAGTCCTCGGAAGGGCAAGGATCCCTAAGCTCAATTCTTGGTGAGGGTTTGAACCCCGTAGAACAAGATCTGGCGACCTACGTCCGAAGAGCCCCAAACAGAACAAAACGGGTCCTTTATTGCCTGCCTCCGGATGGTCAGCGTAACAGAAAACACCCCGCAGGATATACACTGCCTAAAAATAGATTAATCCCCCCCCTCCAAGATGACGGGGTGGGAATCATGTAAAACCCCATACATGGGGGTATGACATAATGTAACCTCTGTATCTTCAGAGAGAAGCTATAAATGCCCAACTTGGGAACAAACCATGTTCCAGACTCTATGAACCAGGGCGGTCATGCTGTCATTTTAAACCCCTTGCCTCTTTCTTCCAGCGTACTTATTGCCAGGAGGTAGATATTTTCACAAGCCCGGGCCACCTCTTTGCACTGAAGTTTTAGATTTGCAGACAGAAACCTAAAAGGGGCTGTAAAGCAGAGACGTTTAGGTTGAGGTTCCCAATCAGCCAGCCGCATCCTTTTCCGTTTCTCCTTCTGCCTTCTCCCCCATTAATAGTCTGTCCGTTCCGTTCCCACTGAGTTCATTTTTTTTTTCTGTTGAAGTCTGGCAAACTTTTTGATTTCCTGTAAATTGCAGTCACCTGCCTTCAGGGTCTGGACGCTGCCTGAAAGTTGTATATACAGAAAGAATTGTCTTTCTCTAGTCCTGTCCCCCAGAATGGTCTTCCCCAAAGCTACGGGCGTGTGTTGCATCCGTTCTCTGCTGAAGAAGGCACAGCTCCCTCCTTAAATCCAGCCACACCTAGAAATGCTGGGTATCAAATCGGACAGGGCCTGATGCTTGTTGTTATGGTGACCATATCGTGAAAATGGTTGGCCTGAAATTTAGGCATTTATGAAATTAACTGCACTTTTTGTCTGCAGTTAAAAAGCTCTAGCTAGCCTCTGGGATGACAGCCGTATCCAGCCTAGTCTTTATTTAAAATATACTGTTGTTTATTTAATAATGCAGGAGTTATAGCTCGTGGCAAGACACGGGCAATCAATGAACCCATTTAGGATAGTTAAACTTTTTTTTTTTTTGTAATCCTGGTTATCTTACCAAGCCCCAATCAACAGGGAGAAAGTTTCCGTCGCTCTCTCTTTGCAAGACCTTGGGTGGCAAACAGACCGTTGAAATGTCGCAGCTCGGAACAGGCGTAGGAAATTCTGGGACGAGAACTCTGCAAACGAGCGTGTGGGCAAAAGCGATTATGCGCTTAAGCTGCATTAAGCAGATCAGGCAGCTTTTGTGCCATGTGTCAGCTCAGCCCTCCCTTCGGGGCTTTGCAGTGCCCTCAGCAAAATGCACAGGTGCATAAAAGAGAGAGAATGCTTTGGGGAGAGCCACCCTAAGAAAGTGAAATTTGGGGGTCGATAGCTCAGCGAGGCAGGAAGGTTGAGGAAGAGGACAATTGAATCTCGCAATGTTCAACGAGTCGAGAGAACCGAAATCCTCCTGCTTTTCTGCTCTCGGTCCCCAACTGTTAGCAACTCTCAGCGCACTGTAGAAAGTGGGGGAATCTGTTCTTAGGGAATGTTGATATTTTTAAACGTCTGCGGGTGGCTGTAAACTTGGGCGCCCCGGGATCTACCGAAACTTCTCTTTTGTACGAAACAGGCTGCTTTGGTGACACGAGGATCCGCTCTCACCGCCATCACACCTTGCAGAGCAATCCCATTTTGTTCCTGGGATAAGAAACATAATCGTACATAAAACAGGAATATTTTATGGTTTTATATCTTGGTTGTATGCTACCCAGAGTCACTTCTTGTGAGATGGGTGGCTATATAAATTAATATTTTAGGTAGGTAGGTAGGTAGGTAGGTAGGTAGGTAGGTAGGTAGGTAGGTAGG